ACCCATAGCGACCCTGTATAGGGTTTCCGAGGGTGTAAATCTTTATGGGAGTAGAAAGCCTCATCTTTCTCCTGCAGAGCAGCTAGTAGTTTCGAACCGCTGACCTTAAGGTTCGCAGCCCGATTCGTAACCACTACGCTACCAGAGCTCCTTAAAGGTCTAGTGTAGGGTGCCCATATTTGTAATTTCTTTCTGGGTTTGTGTGCATGTGTGTATTTATGGTTTCCAGTGACCAGATATAAGTAAGGTACATCAAAAGAACCTTATGTTTCTAAACTGCAATAGGAAGACAAGAACAATTATCTGTTATGCCATATGTTTATTCCTTTCCAAGCAAATATTTTCCAAAATGAATAGGGCTGATCTCAAAAGTGATTTGGATTTTTCTTCTCTTGATGGATCTTTCCCTCTGTCTGGGATAGTGAACTTAAGTTTACATCTCCCTTGTTGGAATTAATTTGTTGGAGCCCTTTATTATCGTGAGCAGTTACAGGGCGCACTTTCTTACGTGGAACATTACAAATAAGGAGTATTTCCTTATCACTGTCATCATCACTGTGATTTGTCTCCATAGCACTCTTACCCACATCATTACCTAAAGCATTGTCTATGGACTCCATTTTATGAAAGGACCTGGATATATATTCCACTTCACTTGGACAAACTGAGGGTTGAGCAATGTCAATTTTCATCTCAGAAATTTCTTGGAGCAAAGGCTCAGAAGTATTGCAAACAAGGCATCTTTCCTTGTAGTAGCGACAAGTCTTGGGTAGCACAGACCTAGACAACGTGGTAGTCTTATATGTAACATGAGACCATCTTGCATGAGGATGTCTGGATGGCTTGGCCAGTCTGGGTAGAGCACATGCTTCAGGTGGCCAGTTTTGCTTTTGTGGGCGGGACCGACAAGAAGGTCTCATTGGTTTATATGAATAGGACACATAGATTTGACGGATTCGCTTATGGGTATGGGTTACCTTAAATGTCTTTTCTACGCTAGATGTTCTAGATAGGTTTTCTAGGCGGGATGACCTGAATACTGTTTCTAGACTTGACAGCCTAGATGAGATTCTATTGGATGGGAGAGATGACTTTTCTGGACTTGATGGCCTGAAAAACATTTGTGCACTGCTTGGTAGAGAAGACTGTACTGTCCCTGATGAACTGAGGAGCTTCTTTGTACTGGATGGTAAAGATGACTTTGTTGGACTTAATGGTACCGAAAACGTGTCTACCCAGGATAGCATGGGTTGTTTTTCTGGACTGTTTGGACTGATACTCTTGAATTGACTGGGTGATAATCTGGATGATTTGGCTGCTCTACCTTGTTTCTTCGTCCTGCAAATATAGAAAATTTGGAACATGCAAATTTAAAACCAAACAGTAGTATTCCTATCACCAGAAAACATAGGATACTGTGTCCATTAAAAACTTTGGTGCCTTTTGACTCTCTTAAGAAAATGGAACACAGAAGCAATCGCTCCGGTTACAGATATGTAGTCATGGGAGTAATTTTTACTTTGTCTTAAGAGTATTTTACTGTTTTAGCCTCATTAGTGAACACATAAGCTACATATGGAATGACACAAAATAGTTAAATATCTACTGCTTCCAGAGAAACAGAGAAAATGTCTTTCATTTATTCCAGAAATTAAAATGATATTAACATTGTCATGAGCTGATAGCTTGTCAGAAGAAAAAAATAAGCTCTTTAGAACAAAGTCTTTGTTTCCCTCTCTGATGTACACCATCAAGTTATCTCTCCATGTTGATTTTCACAATAATCCCCCAAAGCTAAAGGACTAGAGCACATTTTAATCATCAGAGTATGGATTGGGAAATTCTTAGGGAGCCAGTCTATCAGGGTTAGCTTGATTCACCTGTAGAAAAGGTAGTGAATGAAAACATGAAAATAAGCATGGCCAACTTTTCATGCTATTCAGTCTTCAAATCCTGGGTTTCCCAGTATGTTTTCTTGTCTTTGGGATGCAGAGACAATTCCTATTCTCTCTCCCCTTCCTCTTCATGCTCCTCCATATTCCCATACTCCTGCCCTCTTTGCCTAGATTCACAATCTAATAAATTAATAGCCTGGGACTCAGCTGAACCAAGTGGGAGACAGCTGTGATGAAAGTTGATAATCTACTTGAAAACATTAAGTGAATGTATTCACCTAGGAGAGGTTGGTAGTTCTTTCAAGCCTGAAATTCATATTTTGTGACTGCTACAGCAAGGAGCTCTGGTAGCAGAGTGGTTATGAGTCAGGCTGCCAGCCTCAAAGTCAGCAGTTTGAAACTATCAGTCATTCCGTGGGAGAAAGATGAGGCTTTCTGCTTTCGTAAAGCGTTACAGCCTTGGAAACCCTGTACAGGGTCACTATAAGTTGGAACTGACTCCATGGCACACCACAGCAAGGAAACCTTCACCACACACATACACACACACACTTTGTATTCATAATTTAAAGGGGTAGAACTTACATGTCTCCTTTCGGGGCATCATTGCCCAAACAATAATGGTGGAGAAAACAGAAACACATGAAGGTACAGACAATGATCGTAATACCAGTAATAACAACAAGTAGATGTTTCCTAAAACTGTCCATTTTTGTTTCCGTTGATTGAAGCTGTTTAGTTCCTGTAAAAGAGATTGCATTCAGAGAACGTGTGTAAGTAGCCAGGTTCTCCTTCATTTTGATAATGCTTTGCTATAGTAGGTCAAAATTCTCTTCAGCAATGTTTTTTAAAAGTCAATTAAGGGTCGGAGGCGGGACTTGATGGTGGCTAGGGTGGAGGTATATTGAAGTTCACCATCAGCCATACCACAGAATACCAGGCAAAGCAGATCCAGGGGCAGAGCTCCAAAACTCGGAACCACAGACCAAGGAATATTTTTAAAGTTTGAAGGCTTATAGCTTGTGGAATTTGAAGCTGAAGTAAGAAATTGCATATTTTTGAATCTGCCGAGCTCGTAAGCCCAGAGCCTACATCTTGGGTGAGACCAAATGGCAAGACCAAGCAGGGGAGCAGAAACACCATGGAAGAATGCCGTGGGAACCTTGGAACAAAGGTGGTTTTACTTTGTTCTGATTTCCTTTTTTTCTGGTATCCACCCACTGTTTGCACACCTCCATGCTGCTGACTAGAGGGGGAGCTTCAGCGAGTGGACACCCCCCACCCTCACCACTGGTGGGTTCTTCTGCCACACATGCTCACATATGCTCAGCCCAAGAACAGGCCCTGAACATTTTTTTTTTAATATAGGAAAGGCCAGGACAGGGCTGTAGATAGAGAAATAGAGATTAAAAACAAAACATGCCGAAAATTAAATTAAAGCCTGAGGTATAGCATAACAACCAACAGTGGCATCTTGAAATCTCTCAGGCAGCTTTGAAATCAAGAAGCTGAACAGAGGACATTAAAGTCATACTCATATCAAGCTACAGACTTTTCTTTTTTCCTCTCTCCCTCCTCTCCCTTTTCTGTGATTATAGACTGCAGTATTCAGTCTAGTTTTGTTTTGTTGTTTGTTTGTTTTTTGCTTGTGCTGTTTTCCTGTTTTATACTCCCCCTTCTACCTTTGGGGGACTCTTTATCTTCCTATATTACCCAAGAAGAGTCAGCAACTGCTGCCATATAGTCAAGCTACAGCCACACTCTATAAAACACCAAAACCCAGGCAAGAACCAATACCAACTGCCATATACCAGGGAGGCAGACAACATGTGTGAAAGTTACTCTGAGTTAAGCAATAAGAAGAGGGAAAAGGGAAGCCCACATTCTGATCACATCTACCTGGAAGCAATCAGAAAGCATAAAAAATACTAAAACACATACTCAATTAAGTATTAAGGC